AAAAAAAAAAAAAAAAAAAAAAATATCCCGAGATAAAATCGAGTTTGAAAATTCGAAACGCGTTAAAAATTTTGAAATTTTGATTTCACTCCCTCGATAAAACCCTTCGATGAGGAGAAGTAAAATTGATCCAGTATAACTCGTTACACACTTGCATTTATACGCGTACAAATATTCATTCAAAGTCAGGATCTTTGTATTAGTTGAATTTCTTCTTCTATATTATATTTTCATTTTATAATAATTGAGGGGGAGGAAAAAAAATTAATCTTTAAATTCTCTCCACGAAACATCGCCCCACGTATAAACGAAATTTCATAGTTTAAATTCAATCTCGACACAGAGAAGCAATGCGGCGTACGAATTTCGATGGTTGAAAGACGAGAGAGACACAGTTTGAAAAATTTGATGACTTTTCCATCGTCGGTGTTTGCGGTTCGCTCGAGGTTCCGTGGCGCGGCGTCAAAAAGGAGCGGAAATTAAAGAGAATCGCAAAAGGAAAATCAATGAATCCTTTGTCGAGGCCGGCCAATAATCGTCTCGCCGCGTAGAAAATGGGGATGAAACGAAGAGAGCGAAGACAATGGCACGGAAAACCGACAGCTAGGGCAGGGGATTAGTCGAACGTAATTTCGCGTTCGAGGCCAAACACATCGCATCGTATCAATTTGAAAACAACCGTGGAAATACGATTGCAGAAATTCTCTTTTGGGATGGAAATCGTAATTTGAAATCTTCGAATGATCTCATAAATATTCGAATAATATATTTGATGCAGAAATATATCAAATGACCGATCGAAACGTTACATCATCATTAGACACAGAAAAAAGGAAAAAATTCCAAAACCAAACAATCCCAAGACACTTTATTTCACTCTTTGAAATTATTATTACTGTTGATCACGGATAAGCATCAAACGTATATACACGCAGAAAAAAAGGAAAAAATTCCAAAACCAAACAATTCCAAGACACTTTATTTCACTCTTTGAAATTATTATCATTACTGTTGATAACGGATAAGCATCAGACGTATATAACCTTCGAAACGAGGAAGTTGGAGAAATAAATGGACGAAATTCACAGAGCAAAATTCCAGAGTTGAGAGCGTCTGTTTGACATGAAGGATTGGAGGGGGTGAGTTGGCTGCATCTTGCCGCGTAATTAATTTAGCAAAGAGCGGTAAACTGGATATCCGCGATAATTCCGCCCGGAGAGGAAGATCGGCGCGATAAAACGAGTCAATCACATTAAGGCCGGTTCGAGGCTCTGCCGGAACGATTATCCCTTTGAAAGCTCCGCCCGTCTTTCCATCCCCTAATTCAAACCCCTCCTCCTGTCTCCCTATGCGCGTTGTGTTTCCTGTAAATCTATTTCGACCGGCTGATTATCGTTATCCGCATCAATCCCTTCTGGGCGATGGATTTGTCCGAAACAATGCTCGCTAATTGAAAGCCATGGATAATTGTGGCCCACGATCCAATATATCGGGATTTTGGTGAATTAACCCTCTCGTTTCTTGATTGTTTTAATGGCGCGAAAGAACACGTTAAAGAACGCGCTCGATTCGAAACCCTTTTGGAAAGGGGTGGAAAATATTTTGTGCGTCAAGCACAAATTGTGAAAAATTTATTTATTTTTAAATGAAATGAGTTAAAGTGAATATATATATATATTCTTTAAAAAGGATAATTAAAAATGTATAATTATTTTTAAGTATCTCGATTATTTTTAAGTATATCGATTCGTGGTTTTTAAAAGAGCAAGTTTTCTTGATTATTCTTGGTTGATTAATTTTTCAAATTGAAGACTACATTAAGCAATTGTAAAAATAGTATCTTATAGATACATTAAATTTTTCTAATCAATAAAAAAGGAAGCAGAGAGAGAGGAGAGATTAGCTCGAAACGTTTAAATTAAATGAAGTAAATCGAAATGGAAATGTTCATTTAATGGACATTCGATGGAATGGGATTATTCTTAAAAGTGTCAATCAAGTGTGCACTAATGCACGGCCACAAATCGACAAATCTTGCTTTTTTTTTTTTTTTGATTCGTAATTTAATCGACTTCCCCTATCAAATCGGTTCGATCGAATCGATTTATTGGCCTTCGTTTCTTTTTAGAATTCTTTTCTAGAAAAATTAACAGTAACATCGTAAAAACAATAGCTTTTCATTTTTAGAATTCAGATTGAATTTATCTTGTCCCTTCAAATTTTTGATCGACAAACGTGAAATATTATTTAAAGAAAGAAAAATGAGAGATTCGATTTAAATTTATTAATAATGCTGCATTTTAAGAGAATTAATAAAAGCTTCGATTCATTATCGGAATATTATAAGCAAATAAATGTGAAATGCCGTTATTATTTGCAAAAGAAGAGAAGAATTTTCGAATTTTTGCAATGAAATATTAAAGAATTTGTAAATACGAAATTCTGCAAATATTATCTTCAAAAAAGAATGAAATTTCCAAAAATAATTTCTTAAAATAAACAATATCAAAATATACAAAATTTTTCTCCTCTTCCCAAAAAATCTAATACTCCCCTTATTTAATTTACAATAGTCAAGTATCCTCCACCTCCAAATTTACCTCCAAATTTTTCCTTTCTCCAAAAAACTAAAAAGAAAAAACGAGTCTCAATTCCCCCTCTCTCAAAGGATTAAAATTCCATTCACGAAATCGTCGTCCAACCTCGGAATCTCGAACAAATCCTCCCCTTTCTTCGTTCCCCCTTTCCTTTTAGAAGACCAACTTCTACCCCTTCTATTCCTCGGTCTATAATAACACGCTATTTTTACGCTTCCCGGGGATATAATTAGTTCTGTAATTGGATCCCAGTCGCCACGAATTCTCTTCTCGTGGTAAATT